CAGTTGTCATTTAACAGTGGAATCGTCGATTTAGAGGTAACCTGGGGATAGTTATTCTTGAGAGAGTTAACAACTGGCATAGTGTTTTTTTAGCAAAGGTCTATCTATCTATCCCAGGATCTTTTTCTCAAAAATGATCAAAACCAAGATGCATGGAAGAGTAAAAATGCCTATACAGAATCTCCTAATGCAATTATAGCATCCAAAGTTTTGCAGCTTAAAAGACTTTGTAAAACTGATGTTGCTTGTTTATTTAATGGTATTCATTAGATCTATCCTCCAAGTACTTGTCCAAGATCCCTTCAACTTCTTTTGAATATTTTTTATTTGTAGTACTATTCTGCAATGAGTAAAAGCTAGACTGAATGAGTTATTTGACATTGAACTCCGGAGTCTATAGAATATGCCTTAAAGTTCAGTGCTAATGAAAAAAGAAGTTGAATTAATGGAAAAATAATAGAAGTGAGCAGGTAGCAAAAGAATCATAACTGCTACTGGCAGCCAATTTATTCATATTTTCTATCTATTTGGGGAATTTCTATTTATTTTAGGAAGGATGAAATCTGTGACTGAACACAATTTTTCTACTACAGTGACTTATGAAAGATAATAGTTCGTACTGTTTCTTGAAATATTAATTGTAAAAATGCATGCAGTCTATACACAACTAGATGCAATTGTTTATGGATAGCACAGCATTCCAAGAAGCATTTTTGTCTTTAATCCTGAGAATGTTACTTCATGTGGTAGTTCCTAGGACACTCATACAATCTTAACTTACAAACTTATATTGAATCATTCATAAAATATTGATAACCTAGTTTAAATTTTATTCATTTTCCTTGTTCTACAGACTGATTTCCATTTTTCTTTCTTTTTTTTTTTTTTTGTTTGTTTGTTTTCATTTCCACTGTTCTTTATTTGCAAAGAGATTTTGAACATTAGGTAGAGAATAATACTTCTAGTTCATGTGACTGAACACTTCAAGTTCATGTTTCATTTTATGTGCATATAGCAGTACTGTTGAAGAACATTATGAGTCACAACCTACACCTGCCACAATCACAATAGTGGAGGTAATGCTTTTCCTATTTAGGAGCTCATGAAAATGGATTAGCATTTGTCAGGTCCCTGGTATGCATGCTAACAGAACATGTATGTTTAACACAGTGTCTTTATCTTAAACTCTGCATTCTGGTTGCTTGTTTTTCTATATCAAAGGTAAACAAAATCAACCCTGAAAACATTAGAATTCTTTGTGTATTGGTGTCTGAGCTTTACAATCATTGGTTTTTCCCTCCATTCTTGAAGGCAACCTGTTTTTAAAAGAAATCTAGCTAGTGTGAAGGCCAAAACGTTTTTACCAGGCAAAAGCACAAGAAATACAAAGAAATACATGGACAGTGAAAGATGGAAAAACGAGGAGATAAGAGTAACTTTCAAAAAACAGAAAATATTTTTTTCAGGGGAAATCACTCCTGCCAGAGCATGCAGTCTTTCTTACGGTGCTGCTGGGAGCTTTGGAGATTAGAATGAGATAAGAGGTGGTTAATGATGGATTTGACAGATCAGCAGAAGACCACTGCTTCTCCTTGCAGCCCATATGGAAGTGCAGTGAATGCACAGAGAATGCACAGTATCAACAGAGATTGCTGGTCCGGTCTAGGATCAACAAATGCTTTGTGGACTGATATTCACTGCAGGGCTAGCAGGAGAGAAGGAGGAGGACCTCCACAATTTGTCAGATGATGCATAACATATTACCCTTTCTCACCTAACTTCAGACACACTTTGGTGACGCATTCTGCTGGTTCTTTAAGTGTACTTCTTTCATCACTGTTTAGATCCTCAAGATTCCCCAACAGTCCACTAAAATTGTGCACGGCTTAAAATTTTACAACTTTTTGGATGCTGAGTCTGGAAGCCACCGTAGAAGCATCAGCTTCGCCATGTGGTTTCATGGCTTTAAAGATGAAGGTGAGAGGAAAATGAGTAAAATTGACAGATGATTTTATAAGGCTTTATGAATCATGAGTCTTCTCAAGTTTGGCGACCTGGAAGATGGAAATTTGTATGACATAGAACCATAGAATCATGAATGTTTGGAAAAGACCTCTAAGATCTAGGACAACTGTTTACCTACCACCAATACTGCCCACTAAACCTTGTCCCTAATAAAACATCTACCCTTTCCTTAAACATCTTCAGGAAAAGTGACTCCTCCACCTCCCTGGGCAGCCCTTTATAATACCTCACCACTCTTTCAGAGAATAAATTCTTCCTAATATCCAACCTGAACCTCCCCTGATACAACTTGAGGTCATTCCTTTTTAGTTTTCTTATGCTGTTATCAAATCATCAAAGCTTAATTTCATTCATCTTGTATTATGGATCTTCTGCTACTTGGTTGTGCAGTGTGGCTTTAGTTTGAGTAGGGAAGAAAGCAGCGCTTCCACAAGGCAAAGTTACCAGCCTACCCAATCAAGTATCTTCTAGCTTGAAGTGGAAGGTAGATTAAATTTTTTTTCTGAACAACTTCTAGTGTTGGTGATTATAGTGTATTTTGGTGGGGGACTAATTGGCAAAGCTAATTGCTGCCTTATTGTTTTAGTAGTCAATTTCAATATTTGAAATATTTTTCTGCTCTTTCCTATCAAAGAAAATTAAAAAAACATTAGACAAAACAGAATCTGTTTTATAAGTAATATTGCTCTTGACAATGAAGTCTCCAGAAACTTTGAAAAACTGGAAAGGTACAGTGACCTGTTTGAGAAAACAGTGCAGTGAAGTTATATCTCTAATAAAGCTTTTTATCTGTATCTGCAAATCTGCAGTACATTTCCTGAAAGTGTACTTATAAATGTAATTTTGCTTGTACTTTGCAACCTTAAATTTGTGGTGTGCATGAACTGCAAATAATGGTTTCAAAAGTCTTACAAGAACAAGACCTGTACAAGAACTTCGAAGGAGATGCAAACTACTACAGCATTATTAGTGAATGGGGGAAAACCTACACAATCTTTTTCCACTATGTAATTCTATTGCACTGACATCTTATGTAATATCTCCTAAATTGAAAATCATGTATTGATGGATCTTAAAAGATAATCTGCTTAGCAACAACAACAAGAGAGTCTACACAAGAATTTGGTTTCAATTCATCTCAACTTGTGCAAAAAGTAGATTGAAGTGGGAAGAAAAAGGAGTTTGATCAGGTAATGGAGGTAACGTAGTCAGAAGGGCTGACTAGAGATATAGGGTAGAAGCACATTCTTTGGAGAAAAGGGCATTTTCAACAGTTAGTAGAGACCGCTCTCACCTTTATTGAGACTTTATTGAGATTCAGACCCATATTAATACAATGCAGAAAGTGATGGCATATTATTTACCTGTCACCAGTTGTACTGAGTATTTTTAATATTAACTGGAAAAGCAGGAGATATAGTGACAAATAGTTCAATTGAACTGAATTGAATTGGTGATGAATGGAATTAAATCCAGCTGGTGTCCTGCTGACGAGTAGCCCTTCCCAGCAGTCAGTACTGGGGCCTCTTCTGTTTAATATCTTCATTGATGACATGGATGAGGGGCTCAGTAAGTCTGCAGATGACACCAAGCTGGGAGAAAGTGTCAACCTGGGACTAGGAAGGCCCATTAGAGAAATCTGGACAGGCTGGACTTCTAGGCTGAGGCCAATGGGATGAAGTCCAATGAGATCAAGTGCTGGGCCACAACAACTCCAAGCACCATAACAGGCTTGGGACAGAGTAGTTAGAAGACTGTGCGTAGGGAAAGAACCTAGGGATGTTGGTTGATGCTCAGCTGAACACAAGCCAGAAGTGTGCCCAAGTGGTCAAGAAGGCCAGTAACATCCCAGCTTGTATCAGAAATAGTGTAACCAGCAGAAGCAGGGAGGTGATCGCCCCCCTGTACTGAGCACTGGTGACACCACATCTCAAGAACTGTGTTCAGTTTTGGGCATCCCACTACAAAAAAGACATTGAGATCCTAGAGTGTGTTCAGATGAGGGCAATGAAGCCAGTGAAGAATCTGGACCACAAGCCTTATGAGGAGCAGCTGAGGGAACTGGGATTATTTAGTTTGTAGAAAAATAGGTGCAGGGGAGACCTTATCATTCTCTATTACTCCCTGAAAGAAGTTTGCAGCAAGGTGGGAGTTGGTCTCTTCTCCCAAATATCTAGCCTTTGGACAAGAAGGAATGGCCTCAAATTGCATCAAGGGAGGTTCAGGTTATATACTAGGAAAAACTTCTGCAAAAGAGTGGTCAGAAACTGGAATGAGCTGCTCAATGAGATGAGATCCCTGAAAGAAATGTATAGGTGTGGCACTGAGGGACATGGTTTAGTGAGGAAATACTGGTGGGAGGTAGATTGTTGGACTGGATGATCTTGAAGGTCTTTTCCTACTTTGGTGATTCTATGATTCTATGAACTGGCTGCCCCTTTTGGATCCTGCACAATTCTGATGCATGAGTTAGGCAGCAGAAGTACCAAAAATACTTGTATGATCATATTTCTCTTTTTGAAGACCTCTGAGCAAAGACATCTAAGAAAATATTTTGGGAGTTTCCATAATAAAACACACGCCCAATCAGGAGAAAAGAAAGATATGTTCCTTTTAAAGCTTATACATCAGATTGAATTTAAGATTATTTCCTTTCAAAAAATAGAATGCATCAGTAAGGAAACATCAAACTGAATAAGTCTGTGTTTCATATGAAATTAAAAAATGAAGATACTGTTTCAAGTTGGCACTGAGTTTTCAGTAACACGCACATTACAAAATACAGATTCTCTTATCATTTAGAAATCACCTCCAAGATTAAACTAAAGCATGAGAGTTAAGCGTTGACACGAGATGATCTGTTGCAAGAGCATAAAGAAAAAATGGTACGTTTTAAGGATGTACTGTTTATCTTAAAGTGTACGAAATTAGAAGAAATAATAGTACCATGATGGAAAGAAGTCTTAGATCTTTACCTTTGTTGCAGCGTCGAAACAGACAAAGCCTGCGCTAAAGTCAATGGTAAGCCCCATGAGATGGCTCTCCAAAACGCAGGCATATGTCTTGCACTGTAAATCAAAAATGAGAGAAGGCAGTTACCATAGCACATATAGAAAACATTTCTTCAACTTCTTTCCAGGACGAGAATTTCTTTGTTTTATTGTACATATATCTCAAAATTAGCATCTGGAAAAGAAAAAAGAAAAATGGCAAGCAATTTATGTGTAAATAGGCCAATTTACCGCTGAGTAACAATAAATCATATGCTATTATGTGAACCACCAAAGGTGTGAAAGCTATAAATGTCCCTCAGGAAATTGAAGATTTCTTACTGTTAAAGTGGAGGTGGAAAAGTGTCTGGTTTATTTTCTTACAACACTGAAAAAATTCCAAGTATTTCACTAGATGTATAAAATCTGAATTCAGACAATACAGGGATGCACTTGGTCATTATAATTATAAATGCATGAAAAAATGACAATTTTTAATCAGAAAATCAATGATTTAACTCTGTTTTGTCACAGTCATATGGTATTTGTATTTACAATAGCAAATAAAATTGTGGGGTTTATTTGTTTTGGGTTGTTGTTTTGCTACGAAAATGTAAAATTTGAATCTAAATCTTTGCTGTTTGAAAAGGAGGTGATATTGCCTTTGGCAATACCTCATTAGTAGAAGAAAAAAGCATTAATCAGTAGAAAGTTATGTATTTCAGAGTGATTTATTACTTAATACGTTCTCAAATGCAAAATGGCCAAGTTTTGCATGCAAAGCAAAATAATTTTGCAGAATTATTTTGCTAACTTCTTATAGTACACGTAAAACAACTACATTTTTATTCGCAGACCTGCAAGTTATCTAGAACAGACACATAGCCTTCTTAGAATAGAAGAATCTTAGAAAATCTTCTATTCTAAGAAAAACTTAGAATAGAAGAAACTATAAGAAACTTAGAATAGAAATTTGGCAAGGAGAGAGTATCTCAGATTCAAAATATGTATCCCTGTGTAATTCATCTGACCTCCTCTTCAGCAGCAGCAGTCTACAATGCACACCGAGCTGGCACAGCTACTTCAAGAACAACACTGCTTAAACATAGCTCTGTGCCTGAGCCAATAAGCTTCACTGAGAAGATAAGATTTATGAGAAGCAGGACATCTCAGCCTAGACTCAGTGCTGCACTGAAAAAGCTGCCCAATTCCCAGGCTGTAGGCTCTTTCTGCAAGGCAATACACAGCTTGTGGAAAAAGGCCTCGTTCAACACAACACGGGCATCAGTGGTAGGAAAGTGCATCATAATATGCAGGCCACCAGTGGAGTGGCTGATTGTATGAAATAATAATTCTTAGGAGAATTCCTAGGACTTGATAATTAAGAAGTTTGTATACATTTATCACGTATTTTAGTCCTGAGGAAGTTTGGCTTTGATAATTGTTTTTTCACATATAGGTCATAAAAAACTTATCAAAACAGAAGCATCCCCCTCTCAAAAGATAGAAGAAAATAATCCAGCATTCATTTCTTGTTCTTCCACAAAATACAGAATCTTAAATTGAGTTTCTGAATAATTCAGTGGATCAGGTGCTGAAGGAGACGACTCAGAGCATTATTTTTTTTTGAGTCTACTTCCTCAACAACATCCAGTCCAACTTACGGAGAATGATAAATTGTAAGCCTACTATAAGCTATATTTGAAGCAAAGGGAAACCAGACTATAAGTGCAAGGTACAACTCAGACTCAAACTCAGATTCAATTTCAGAGGAGACGAAGTTCTAAAGCGAGGCACTATGAAGCAGCTTACATAATAATCTTTACATTAGGCCACAAGCAAATACAATACAAATAAAAACAGCAAGAGAAAAAAAAAGATGATGAAAATGGAGAAAAAAATTGCATAAATAGTAGGAACTTTGCATGAACTTGGCAATCATATAATTGTACTTCATTATTTATATATTTCAGTTTCATGATTCTTCACAAAGCTGTGAGATAGTGAGGAAAAAGGATCTCTATTTTAAGTTCTTTCTTAATTGTTTTAATAGTTAATTATAAAACACCATCAGTTACTTTTGCTATTCTAAATAAAACTAACTAAAGAGTGACCATAACATATTATGATAACACACAGTACAGTATCATATCATTTACTATGGCCAAATTATTTTCAGCTTGATTCTTTCTGCAAAAAAAAGATAATGCATCTGTCTGCCTAATTTTTGTTTTACATGGATATTTGGCAAAAGCTATCAATTAGGCTTAAATAGAACTTACACATATTTGTAGTGAGGTATTTTTAAAATATTTGCATTTGTTATATATTCTTTAGACATATATAAAATTTGTGTCTCATTTAAACTCAGTAGAGGTTAATGCTAACTTATATTAGTTGAGAAACACTGTTATTATTTCCATGATTATTGCACAATATGCAAAACATCTGGATAATTTTAAACGGTTGTTTTAAACAGTGGTTACATTCTCAAAATTACATGATTTCATAATATAACAAACCTGCATACAGCTGGACTAGCATTCACATGAAATATGAATATTTATATGAATATAACTGCATAAAACAGAATTTTAGGGAACATTTACAGTTGATGCCTTGATTTTGAACTTGCTCCCTTTTTTTCTCTCAGAGCAATGAAAGAGTTTTTTAGAGACAAATTACATCACTATCTATTCCAACCAGGCTTCATATTCATCTGGAAATTGATGGATAAAAGCAGCAACAGATTGCTGAAAGAAAATAGGAGAACCAAGGCCAGTTATATTATAAAAAAAAATGAACATTTTGTTTTGTTTCACTTCCAAACTGAAACAAAGTAACAGAAAGAGAGGCAAGAAAGAGAGGTGAAATTATAAGTGCATGTTCCACAATAATTATCTATCACAAAATGGTTGTTTGTCCACTTTTCCAAATGTGCTGTAATCATTTAGGCTCAGGAAATAAATACCTTGACCTCTTCACTGCTACTCTGAACATCAACAGTGCAACAAGTTAAAAATCTGAGGATATTTTTTTTAGAGAATCTCTTTTTTTTTGGAGACAGGAGTAATTTTGAATAAATGAAGTTCTCATACTCGAGAGAAAAAACTGAGCTAGGAATGCTACAGAATGATTCAGTATCAGAGACAAATATGAAGTGAATTCAGGGTTAAAGGTTATTTTATAAAATTGCCATATCTTCTTTTATGGATGCTGCAGTAGGCTTTCCGTGAACAACATTACAGATAGTTGTACAGGAAACATAAAGCATCCTAAATATTTAGTAGCAGAGGCATATGCAATTGAAAAATTTATTTAGAAAAACTACATTAGTATTCTTTAGCACAATACCCAGAGCTCAAAAGGTAAAAGTAGCTCCTGTAAATGCTAGCAGAGCACATCAACTTAAAAGATACAAACGGAATCTTCTCAAACTCCTCCTCCAACAAAGATAATAAGCATTAAAACTGAGAGTAATGCATCATTTACAAAATGGATCACCATTAGTGTATTACCTAGTGCTCAGTTGATCTTCAATACTGGTTTATAGGTCAGAAGAAGGCCATATATATATATACATATATATATATATATGTAGCTAACAATTTGTCTAAATAAAGATAAGTTAAAAAAACAAACAACCATCAGAGCTTGTGTTAACATGAGGATGCAGAAAATGATGGCATGCAAAGTACTAGCCAATATTTTAGCAGGGTTATACACTAGTAATTTTGTAGGAGTGTGTACAGATTTCACAGCAACTTCAATTAAAACTGTTCCATCCACATTATTTTTAAAGCTTGGAACATTAAAACATCCATTAGGATGATAACTTTTTAATAATAATTTTTATGGTTTTTTTCTCCCTTTTTTTTTTTTCTTATCTTTCTCCAATAATAATGATTTGAGAGTTCCATAATGACAGAGAATATCTTCATTTAAGTCTTTATTTTGTCATAATCCGTTAATGTACCAAAAGGCAATCATCAAGGCAGTTGTTCTTACCTGTATCCGTTCAACTTCTAAGAAAGTTGCTGTCTGGAATGCTTTTTCCCATAGTGCTAGGTCAGACTCTAACTCCACGGAAAAGTAAAGATCTTCTCCAGATTCAGATTGGACACCAAAACAATGTTTCCGCCGGTCCAGTAGATCACTGTCCTGATGAAAACCTGAAGTTATATAATCTGGCATACATCATTGCTTTTTTTTTTCTATTCATGTGAGAACAAAAAGCTAAGTTTCTCTGGTCTGTGTGACTCTCCCATCCTAGTTTGAAAGGCTGGCCAAAGGAAGCAACAGATTTATTTAAGTATCTAAAAAGCCCATCTGTTCTTCTTTGCCTATGGAAGCTAGATAAAATAAGCCCATATTTCTGACAGCTTAAATATCCACCATAAAATCTGTGTACAGCTATATATTACTAGAAGAGACTATATTCGCGACCAGTGATTAGTTTGCTGGCTTTGGACCTGGAGAAGGAAGATGCTTTTGGCTTTACTTTCAATGAGACAACATACAGGGAACATCTGATTGCAGAAATATATAACATTTAATGATTGCTAGCAAATCAAAGAATAATCAAGTTAATCAGGAAATCTATCACTTAAATGTTTTTCAAAGATTTTTTTTTTTCTTTCTGAAAGAGTAGAGGATACTTTATATGCTAAAATTCTAGCATGTCCTTGTGAAAAATGTCCTTGCAGAAAATGTTTTAATTAATATTGTTCCTACTACAGCAAAGCAGCTGCCACAAAGCACAGGCTCACCAGCTGTCCTTGAAAACAGTTTGGAAAATTTGGGTACATGTAGCTTAGGTGAAATTTCTACATGTTATCCTGTTTCAGAGGTCATAACTGAGATCAGCAAAAGATTCCCAGGATAGTATCGCCATCTGGTTATCACAACCTGAACAGACCAAAGGGGGACCATAACTAGTAATACAAGCCTTATATTGTTCAAGCCAACCTGGGGCAGACTACCAAGAACCTCAAGCTGGCAGAGAATGGAAATGTACAAAACAGGAATCTCTATGATAAACTATTAATCTTCAGAAGGGATGAAGGCAATAGTGGAATGAACACTACTTTCCTCCTTTTCATTCAAGTGATAGACTTACTCAGAAAGTAGGACAGAATCCATTCCTGGGTGCTCATGGCTCAAAATAGTTTTAGTGTCTAGAAAAAAACAGCTGTGAAGGCAATACAGCCTCTCTTTTCCAATCACTTTGATGAAATTGAATTGTTCAGAATTTAAAATGATCAACTGTTGTGAAGCAATGAACTCCTTTGTTATGTACCTAAAAACAGTTTCTAAGCTTAGCACCTTAGCACAGTAATGGACAGAAGGATAGAAAAACCAGAATGAACATAGGCGTTTTGATTTTAAAAACAGCATACTCAAAAATAAATACAGACTAATCATTTGTGTTCAGATGAACTAGATGAACTAGTTAGATGTAGCTAAATAACTCTGTCTCCTATGGAAAATACTTCTCTGTCAATTCTGATTACAGTAGGATTTGGCATGCATTCAAAATACTGGTCATAATGTCTGGGTTGCTATCAATGACAACTCTGTTATACTGGATGCTCATCCTTGAAGTACACAGAACAGTATTACTATGACAAATGTTTAATCTTGTGAATATGTGTATCAACATAAAACATACCATCCAGTATCTGGCAATATAAACTCTACCAACCAGGAACTGGCTGAATAAAGGTGATGGCCAGTCCAGCTTCCTTCTTCCAAGGAAGAACACCTATTTTATACAGTGTAGCAGCACTTCTCAGCTAATAGGTCTTTAGTGGAGTCTTAAATTCATCAGGGTCCCAGAACTACACCTGACTGATACACTTATTGGTTCATAATCAAATAGACCTATTCAGGATGTAGTTTTACAAAAGTAGTGTGTAGGCACATGTTCTTTCCAGGGAATAATTTAATTCTTCATACTTGCAATTTCAGACAAAACTAGAAATATTTTGAATTCATCTCCACTTATTCTTGACAAGAGGCAAAACAGAAAAAAATATGAATAATAGCACAAATGTTCATTTTTTAAACAACGCTACAGCATTATGTGGGATTACAAGATTTGCAGTCACTTCAAGCAACTGAAGCAACAAACCCTGATTTTAAATGGGAGGAATTACAGTGCCTGGTTCCAGAATGCATATTTCTATGTCTCTGCTTTGCTGGGAACAGTTAAAGTTTGACTCTTTTAAATTATACTGTTAGACTTTCAGATTTTTACTGTGTTTTTTTTTGTTTTGTTTAGTTTTTTGTGTGTGTGTGTGTGTTTTCTTCCTACTAAGAACATGCTTGCTATGTAAAAGGGTTGTGCTCTTCTATAAATTGTGAAAATGAAAGTGTTAAAAGTTGTATTGAGACTGACCTCTGTTAAAATGTGTTTGAAAGTGCAAGAATCTTGGAACAGTCTTTTGAAGTGATTAAATAAAAGCCTATGCATTTTATTACCAATATTTTTTAGCAATAATTGTAGTAGATCCTGCTGAGTATTTCATTAATCCTAGTGATTGGAGGGAGAAAGGAGATAAAATGGATCTGGAATATTAACCCATGCTTTTGCTATTTACACATTAACATGAGAACATATTCACAGAATCACACAGAATCACAGAATTGTAGGGGTTGGAAGGGACCTCCAGAGATCATCGAGTCCAATATTGCACTTAGAGAAGATCTAATCAGTACAAGGTAGCACTTCTTCTCAGTGGTTTACAAAAAATATTAAAGTATTTCAACCACTATAGACTGTGACAAATTACACGCACAATGTACATACTAACAAAACAGAGAAAAGCAAAGATATTTAAAAAAAGAAAAATACAATAAAAAAAGAGCATTTCTTCCTACCAGAAAATAACATAGAAAAATAATAATAAATTTTATGGGAATTTATCTTATTTGGATTGAAAAGCAAACAAACAAACAAAAATGAATGACAATTTATCAAACCAAAATATATATATATTTTTTTAATTAGTATAATTTTAATTAGTAGATCAGTATGTACTTGTGATTTTGATATCCATGCCATGGACATGGTAATGATGTGGTAAAAATGGTAACAGTAAAAACAAAATCCAGTCAAATATATGTGAATGGTATATTTTCACTTACAATGACGTCTCCATACGTATGAGATAGTAGCTTCCTCGTTAGTAGAATTTTCTCTTATTTGTAAAAATAATTTGATATCCCTGCAAGGCTCTCTTTAGTGCTTCTGCTCCTTTTTGCTACAAGACTTTTCTTTAGGTTTTTATTTGTGCTCAGGCATGTAAAAAGTGAAGCCTACATACCAATTCACAGATTTAACCCTGTTTTTACTTATAGTATAGATAAATGTAGGAAAAAATAAGTACACAAACTTAAAAGACAGCTATTCAAAAATCCTAGAAAAAGTTGGAAATCAAAGTGAAATTTTGTCTCAGGAATCCAACTGAGAATTACCCAAATCTCCCTGGAAGTTTAAGATCAACCTGTCAGGAATCTTAAAAATAGGCTTGGATTAAGAAGAAATCATTACTAATTGACTTTTACAGAATACTTACTTCATTTAAAATATAAAATAATGTTCTACTCTGTTTAAATGTGGTTACAACTTTGTATTTTGACCCTGCATTTTTACTATTACTCACTATAAGTCAATTATAGTCAATAGCTAATTTCATCTTATTTTTGAGCCATTTTTCATACTGGTAATGATCAACTGTACCATTTACCCCTGATGTTCTCAACGTGAATTAATACAGACTTTCTGAAGATGAACAGTCAGAAGGCTTGTAGCAGTATGCTAATTTCCTACTGGAAGGAAAGTAGCCCTGCTGAAGGATGAGTGGTGAGAAAAGTCTTTGGCTTATACCCAGCTTCAGGGTAATCCAGCATCTCTGCTGACAGGATGGTATGACTCCTGCTTATCTAATTAATAATGATGTCCATGTTAAGTGAGAGTAATAAATTTGTCTAAGGGAACTAAGCATGGCTCATTAGGCAGGTCCTTTCAAATTAAGGCAGAATACCTCTTTATCACTAAGTAATTACATCACTTTCTCTACAGCAAGAGAATTTTTTCTCTTTGAAATCCTGGCCTCTCCAGAAATAATAGTGCTCCTTTTTGATTACATGTATTTTTTTCATTTTCTGTAAGATAGATGCAATAAATACTCATATTTGGGCTATTTGTTAAATCCACTAAGATGTTAGAGACTCTGAACTCTGACTGCAATGAAGACCAATTGTTCTATTCTACAACAGTTTGTGAAGGATTAAACAAAACTATGTCCATGTGTTCCATTTATGACATTCACCCAGAAGGACTTATTTGAGAACAGTCTTACTACTGGTTCTCTTGTTAAATATAGGATATATATATATGTAAGTATATATATATATATAATATATATATAATGGACAAAATAATTAGGAGGTGGAACTGTATATACCAGTGACACCATGAGCAGTTCTTGACATGTGCAATCAACTATGTAAGATGTTCAAAACCATTCAAATCAGAGCTATATACACAGACAAAACAGACCTTGATATATGTTATTTTCTCTTTTAAAGTGAGGTAAAACTCAATGTTTGTGATAGTGATTATAATTCTTAATAAGAGCTGAAAAAAAACCAACAACAACAACAAAACCTGCTTCCTTTTTGAACTACTTTAGACAGTCCTGAAATAAAAAGAAATCTGTCTTACAAAACTCTCTCCCATCAATTCAAGAGTGCAATAATATTAAGATGACTGTAAAAAATGATCACATCATGCCTTTACACCTGCTGGCACTAGCATTAGAGCACTGATTATTTTACACTTATTATCTCCATCTACATAAACAAAACTCCTTTCTAAGGGATTCTAATGATCTTTTTTTTTTTTTTTTCTGAAACTTTGGGAACACTCCTTTCAGGCATCACCATTAGTTGCTATGGCGATAGTTCTAATAGCATTTACAGGCAGCAGGAAACTGATTCACTCCAAAGTGAAAAAGAAGAGATACTTCTTCTCCAAAAAATACTCATTAATCAAATAATAAAGAAAAAAAACACCCCACGTCACTTGCATGCAAGCACGAACAAACACATGAAATCTTTTTTTTTGAATTTTAATATCAAAAACATACAAAAAA